CTTCTGAAAATAGTGCTATGATTCCCATTATAGTTTCTAATGATCCCTTCTGTTCCCGATAGGCCCAGATTGCCCCTGCAGCATCCATCAAAGTTTAATTTGATTAAATGTGCTGCTGGTGGTTCCCATTGAGAAATGACAACAGCTCTAGTGGTAGAAGAGTTAGCTACCCCTTGCCAAGCTCTGGTGATGTCATTGGTGGAAAAGAAATTGTAAAGCCCCACTGTTTTAATCCAATGATATACTTCCGTTGTGATGTTTTCTTGATGGCATGTCTATTTTGGGCCTTATCTCTGAACGATCTCCTATTCCTTTATTCCCAGATGGACCATACAACTGCTGTCCTGGTACATCTCCATAATGTTTTCCTTCTTCTCCTTAATGGATTGATGAAATTTGAGTGGAAGAGAGTTGCCAATTCAGATGGAGGAATCCACTTGCATTCAGAAGAGCAAAAAACCAATCCCAAATGCTAGTAACAAAAGTACAGGGGATTAGCAGATGGTAAGTACTTTCTCCACTCCTATTACAGAGGAGGCAGACATGTAGAGATAAACACCAGTCAGGCTGTTTCCTTTGTAGGGTCTCATAAGTGTTAATCTTCAGGCAATAACCTTCCTAACAGATCACTTTTGTTGGAGCCAATCCACTTTGTTTAACTGCAAAGGTGTGAGAGGTAGATGAAGATGAAGCAAGTAACTTGCCTGAGGTGTATGGGGTGCCAATTACCTGTTGTCCAAATGCTCATGCATTATCTTGTCCTTAGTGGAAAACCAGGTTGTGATCTACATATAGGGCTGCAAATCAGGCCGGGTTAGGTCGGGTTGAGGCCAACCCTAGCCCAACCCTAACCCTAACCCAACCCGACCTTCAACCTGACCTACCCAACCCTAACACTAACCCTAATTAAATTTCTTCCATCCTTACCCAACCCGAAGTCAACTTTGGGTTGGGCTGGGCTCGGGTTGGGCCCAACCCAACCTTCTTTCCATCCCTTAAAATCTCATAGAACTTCTCAATTTCAAATCTCAACTCAATTTTCACTACTTAATCCTATATTTCATTAGTATTTGTTTGTTGATGTTTTTATTGGTTCTTTTAGAATAACATTCAGAAAAATGTGTTTGAAATGACTATAGTTTATTGTGAGTTATGATTATGATAGATATTTTATGGGTGGCAAACAACAGAGAGGAGATGAATAAAATACTCAAAAAAAACATAAAATATGTTATTAAGGTTTTAGTCTTTCCGATTAGGATTAAGTGAAGAGATTCTCTTAAAAGAAATACATGATACTATGTGGTGGGGGCTATACAACTATCATGCATCTAAAAAATCAATTTATGATATATTATATATATGACATGAATTATAGAGTCGGATTCGGGTTGCCTGAGGGGTCAACCCTAACCCAACCCGAAGTAAAGTTGGGTTCATGAATTTCAGCCCTAACCCTAACCCAAGCATCAACCCAACCCAACCCAACCTGATTTTTTTGGGGTTGGGTTCAGGCCAACCTGGTCCAAGTTGCAGCCTTACCTACATAGTTGAAGGATGAAGTGCTCCATGATACCACCAGTAGGTCCAATGTAATCTCTGCAAAGTGGCTTAGCTTGTCTGTCTCGTGTATCTGTTTCTCAGAATACTTTGTTGAGAAGCAGATAAAGTATACTTTGTTGATACCTGCCATTCCATTGTAATGATTTTTCTTTCAATTAATGAAAAAATTACGTTAAAAAAACTTAGTTCCATACCTGCTTCTCTGTAGTTTCTGCTTTGTAGAATGCACACATGAATTGTTTGCAACAAATGCTTACATAAATGCATTTGCATGCGTGCATGTGCTAAGCTTAAACATATTCATCATCTGACTTATCCCAATTGCTTGTTGTGCCAACAACTGTGTGGCTATGGCATCTTTCCCTCAGCATAGACTAGAGTTCAAATCCATGAAGTTGCAGGTTGAAATGCTCCATGGTATCTAACTCTAATCTTCAGATGGTCAGTACTAAGAATGCTGTCATGCGCTACCAACCAAGCAAATGCCTCTCTACCCTTGGGGGTACTGGGTTACCCCACACACCTTTTATCTGGTTCCTGAATCCAAACTCTCTCTTACTAGTGCCTTGTAGAATGACTTCACTGAGAATCTTCCTTCTTTACACTCTTTCCACCATAAACCATCTCCTGTGGACCTAGAAATACTGATGCTTTCTAACTTTTCCAACAGCAGGATACATTCTTCCACTTCATGGTCAAGCAAAGGTCTTCTAAATTTTGGATTCCAAATCAGCCGCTCCCTTCTCCATTCATAACACTGATCAGTTGTGTCTTGTTGTTCAGTCAACCTGTATAATCTTGGGCAAGCATCACATAGTTTCCCTATCCTGATCTATTCATCTTCCCAAAACCTAACTCTTGACCCATCTCCCACTTTGAATCTAATCAAGCCCCTAAACTCCTGATTAAATCTTGTGATTCCTTTCCAAACACTTACCCATAAGAACTTCTTACTTCTCTTGGTTCCCACCCAAGCCTTACCACTCTATATTTTCCACTCCACTTAATAGGAGTACTAATAGTCAACGCTGAAGCATTGAGCTAGGAGATCATACAGAATTGAGGTTTTAAATTTGTCCGAAACTAAGTTTTGACCTGGTTTCCAATATATTTCAAGATTTGAGTCATTTGGCCCAGTATAATATTCTTTTGATAGTAAATTAATAAGCACTAAATAAAAGAAAAGGAGAGTATACAATCCGAGCCTCCCAGGCCCAATGAAGCAAGGAAAGAACCAACCCTGCTCACAACCTTTTAATGAAGCTACTATTACAAAAGAAACTCCCTTATGATAGATAAGCACACTGGTAACACCCACCAAAAACTATATCCTCCTAAGGGTGATTCATTGGATTAAGTCCTTGGATCTGTTCTCTTCATTTTCCTCTGATGGGTATAAAAAGGAATTGGAGGGAAGTGGCCTTTTCGTCTACAAGAAAGACCAGAAGAGTTCAACTTTGGGAACCACCATCACAGAGCCATGTAAAACTCAATTTTGATGGAAGTTATTTTGGCAACCCAGGCCCTTCAGGCATAGGAGGGGTGGTCAGGGATAAAGATGGAACCATCTTAGCTTTAGGTCCTATTAGCCAAGGAGACTCAACTAAGGCTGAACTGTCTGCTGTATTATATGGGGTCCAATTAGCAGAAAATCTAAATTTAAGAAGGCTGCTAATAGAAGGAGACTCCCAAGTAGTGGTAAGTTGGTTAAAGAATGAAAAGAGGGCAGCTTGGAGCTACTGAGATTTGGTAAAGAAGATCAAGTGGCATCTGAGAGGTGTAACAGTAACTTTTCAATGGGTTTCAAGGGTTGCTAATGGGATGGCCGACTCTCTAGCAAGGCAAGGGGTTGAAGGGGATCGGTTGTTTTGGGATAAGTTGTTTTAAGGTGTGAGTGTGCACCTGCTCCTGTGGGCAAGGGAAGGCCCGGAAGGGCAGGGAGTTTTGTATGTTTATGGGTAGGGAGTGATTGTATTGGTCACTGTTTGTAGGGGTACCCAGACCCCGGATGTAATCCTTTGTGTATGCTTGTTTATATTAATGAAGTACTTTCAGTTATCTGTAAGAAAAACACCCACCAAAAACTTGAGCCAAAACCAACCACATCAAATAAAATGCTCCACCCATTAGATCCACCATCCCCCCCCCCAAAAAAAAAAAAAAAAAAAAAAAGAGACATTAATGAACAAAAGCAACCAAATCAACAACCAACCTCAACAAATGTACAAACTCCAGAAACTAACTTCTTCCCCTCACTTCTATCTTCTTACAACTGATCCCTGCCACTAGAAACCATTACAGCTGAGCCTTATTTCTAGCCTTCTTCCTACCACTACCTCTAGAAATCCACAGCTTCACCACCATAATTCAAATGCCTGAATGCCTGATACAACAATCAATATTTTTAGTTATATATTTGGATATTCATATCTTCTTTTCCCTACTTTTTTTCTCAATTGTGTTCTTATATGTTTTATTTTCTCCTTAATTCTATTTATATGTGTTTTCTCTCATTTATTCTTTATCCGTGACTGAAATTGGCAACATATTATCATCTATAGATAGAATTCTAGTTCCCTTCTGGGACAAAATCTCGGATTCTGATCGAATATTTTAAATCCTCCCTTCTCAGCCTTCTTCCTACTATTACCCTAGAAACCCATAGTTTCATTATCACAACTCAAATGCCTGATATAATAATCAATATTTTCAGTTATGTTTTTGGATATTCACATCTTTCCTCCTTTCCTTTTTTTTTTCTCAATTTTGTTCTTATATTTCTTATTTTCTCCTTTTATTTTTATTTATCTGTATTTCTCTTTTTTTGGTCTTTATCTATGGCTGAAATTGAAAAAATGTTATCATCTATGGATAGAATTCAAGTTCCCTTCCAGAATAAAATCTTGGATTTCTGATTAGTATCTTAAGCCGGCAATGAATACCAATGTGCGGTATCAAATCTGTAAGGTATGCTATTTATGTAATCATGCTCATACTATGTCTTGCAAAGAGAGTATCATTATACCCCTGATTTATATTAAAATAGTTTTTGGAGGTCTCAATATCTCTACTAAATTAATATATGCTATATTGCTATATAACCTAACATGATTGAGGGTGGGCCTTGGCGCAACGGTTGGGTTGCTCCATTGCGACCTGGGTGACTAGGGTTCAAATCTTGGCAACAGCCTCTCTGTATATCAGGGGTAAGGCTGCATACATCTGTCCCTCCCTAGACCTCGCATTGGCGGGAGCCTCATGCACTGGGCTGCCCTTTTTTTAATACAACCTAACATGATTAAACATGTAATTAAGATGGAGATTCCACATTGTTATGTTCTTGTGAACGTTGTTTTGGCTGTATAAAATTTCTTTTAGCATTTGTTATTGGTTCCTTTGTATTTGATGTTAAATCTATTGCTTGTTATGGGTAACAGGTATAGCTCCCTTGGCAGCATTTGGATGGGTCCTTGCTATGCATTTGTCTCTTTATCCTGTGATCTTAATCATTCCGGTATAAATTGTTGCTTATGTTATTTGTGATATGTTATAAGCTCTTCATGTATGGAATGCAAAGTTATGGTATTAGTATGGTTATTTTGTTTTTTGTTTTTTCATAGGTGATTCTCTTATTAGGATATGGTCCTGATGCTCCTCCAAGGAAATTGTTCCTGCAAAAAAATTCCAGTGAAAATGGAAATAGTCCATCATGCCATGGCAACTATCCCTGCAATGAAGTTACAAGTCAGGAAAAGCTACCATTACACCCATTCCTTTGGAGACCAGTTATGCATTTCATGTTATGGGCATCATTCTGGTTATTTTATGTTTTTGTTCTATGTAGCATTTCCCTTAAACAGCATGGTGGCCTGTTGGAGATGTTAAAAAGGTAAACTTTGTAGTATTTTGTATATATGGTAGATGTATTGCGGACTAAGCAAATTCTTTGAAAGACATTGATGCTATTAGCATGTAATCCATGTATAAATTTCATGCTTAAATGTCAGGCATTAGGTGTTATCCTGTTCACCCCTCTTTTTCTTTTTCTTTTTTTTTTTTGTTTTTTTGATAAGCAAGAGGGTAAAAATATTCATTCAGCACCAAGCTGCATACAAAGTATACTGCCAAAAAATACAACATTGGGCCTCCCAAGAGAGGCCACACCACAAATGACAACAGAAGCAAAAACAGAAGACAAAAAACAAATGACAGCAACTGATTACATATTACAAATTAGCAGCTGGTCCTGGGCATCCCCAATCTAAACAAGATTTCCCAACCCCAGCCTTACCCAGAGAATCAGCCAACATGTTGGCACTCCTAGGATCCTATTCACCCCTCTCTAAACCCAAATAGCAGGGAACCAGCATTGTGTTCCAATTGGCATGCTATTATTTGATTCATTGGAATATTAAGAGTTTGGCTATGATTGCTTCTAGGATGTTCTAGTTTGCTACTTGTGTACTCTTTAATATTTGATGTGGGATAGGAAGGAAAAAGTCCTATAATCTTCATACGTGGGTAAGAATGGGAAAACTAGATCTGAGATGGGGTAAAGAGAGGAGACAAAGGGGTTTCAAAATATAGAAGAGATTAAAAGAATAGAGTAGAGAAAGAGAAGAAAGAGGGGGCAAACCTCAAAACAATCAAACTTTGGCTAAGATTATGGGCCTTTTGTCTTATCTATTATGATGATAACAAATTCATTCAATTTGTCTTAACCATTCAATTATGGGCCTTTTATTGATGTAGACAATAGGGTTAGGCCAACCTTTACAATAGATTCTAGAATAACCAGAGTTTCCTACTTTGACTAAGATTCAACCCATAGACAAACTAACATTAATGTGACCCTAAATTTCGTTGTTTTGATCATTAACAATCAACTTTATTGAGTTTTTAGAAAAAAAAGATATACAATCTGAAATGCGAAGCACCTTTTTCATTGGGCCAGTCTTAGTGTCTTACTAATCACCCCTATTTGTGAACATACCATCTTGATTTCATATTACAGACTTCTTTCTTGGGAAGACAACCCCCAAATTAGTTGGTTCCTATTCACTTCTTGTCTTACCAAAGCCTCAGCCATGCTATTGGCTGGCCTTTGGGTCCACTAAATGTATCCCTTACCATTCCAGGGGAAGAATTATGTGGAGATGTGTGAGGGCTGCCACTTGCTGGACTTTATGGGAGGAAAGGAATTCCAGAATTTTTTCTGAAAAGGAAAGAAGTAAAGAAGGTATTATTGAGGTCATAACAGTCAGGGTGGTGCATTGGTTAAAATCTTTATAGCTATTTGATGATGTTTCTATGGTTATGCTGTTGAACAACTGGATGGAAGTGGCTAACTCTGTATCAGCTCGGTTTTCTGCTGCTTCTGTGTGGTCACCTCTTAGCAATGGATTTGTAAAGTTAAATTTTGATGGGAGTAGTGAGGGTAACCCAGGCCCTTCAGGTGTAGGGTGTGTCTTCAGAGATGAGGAGGGGAAGTGTTAGCAATGTATTCGTGCTCCGTTGGGGTTGGGGACTCTCTTAGATCTGAGATCTACGCTGTTTTGGAGGGTATTAGAAAGAGTAAGGAACTGAATATACAGAAGTTAATTATTGAAGGGGACTCAAAGTTGGTGGTAAGTTGGTTACAGAGGGGAAGCGGGCTTTGGAAGTATGCTAATGAAAGAAAGGAAATTAAGTGGCTAACTAGGGGGATGGACATCCAATTTCAGTGGGTGAAAAGAACAGCAAATGCATTTGCAGATGCTTTGGCAAAGCAGGGGGTGGGTAGGGATCAATTATACTGGGCTGTATTGTGAAATGCTATGTTTGCTCTCTTGTTGAGAGTTAAGTCTTTTTAACTCTCTCTGGATTGCTGTACCTATTTCTTTAATCTAATGAAATTCTGTTATTGATCAAAATAAAAAGAAAAAATACGTCTGCACTTACATGGGCCAGTACTGTTATTCATCATCCACCCAACAAGTACTTCCAGGTCTGCTTATACTACCAAGTGCTCATTTGGGAGGGCTGAAGCACAGAAGCTTCTGGCTTTCCGAGGTGGGCTCTACATGGACAGCCCTTAAGCTATGTTTGGCAAAAATCCAGAGAACCCAAATTGGCTGCAGTCGGTCATTTTGGGCTGTCTGCTTCAGCTTCTTTAGATACCTTATCCAGAGCGCCTCAAAGCAGCTGAGCCAGCTGAGCTGAATGTTCAGTTCAGTCCTTCAAAATAGGCACCAAGTGTAGTGCTTTCCCTGGTCTCAGGCCTTGTAGTACAGTCTGTACTGCCATCAGTTCTTCCCTTATAGAGTTGCCATAGCCAATGGGATCAGAAAAAAAGGCTAAGATCTGACTGACACTATTTCTAAATACTCATCCAATACCTAAGTTATCTAGGTATGTAAACAATATCCATTAAAATTTAATTTTATGAATGGTACCACAATTTGCTTTGACCATAACTTTCATTATTTTCCAGACTCAAAGGATCTTGGTCTCATTGGATAGGCAGCTGAAAATTCTGTACAATAAGGGGCTATCTGATTTTCCTCTTGCATTTTTTATTGCTTTCTTTCCATATTTCATTCTTTCTCCTAGTGAAGCAGAGCCAGAAATTTGCAACTCTTGGAAGGATATAAATACCTAATTACCTTGAGGATCAAGCCTCTTAAAATCTTCTTTTGGCCTTTTACCAATGTAGGCTCATTTGGTTGTTGTACAACATACACGAGTGAAAGCTCTGTCTGGGGACTGCACCCTTTGAAAATTCATATCTATTACATAGTTGCTCTTATCTCTATACTTGGAGAATTTATTCAGGATGGATCAAGCACTCTTAATAAAGGTAGCACTGGAAGTATGCTTTTGAAATATAAAGCAGTCTTTTGATGATTAAGAATGATTAGTTTGTTTTATCATCCAAATGGCATGACAGACCACTTGTGTGACCAATTCTTTGTCCTGAATGCGATTTACCATTTCCCTATGACCCAATGCAAACCAGATGATCCATACTGTGATCTATTTTGTAGGAGAGTTTCAATTCAAATAGCAACTCCAAACATGTTATATCTGGGCATGGGAATTCATAATAGAATATCTCTTATATGACTGCTGCATTCATTCTTCTCCTCCTAGAGCCATCATCTGGAAGCAAGGGGGAGTAGATCATATGCTCATGCTCTTATATCTTAGGCATGGTTAGAATTCATAGTTCACATTTCCTCCCCTTTTCTTTATTTTATTAACCAGTAGGTTTTCATAGTGGTATTTAAGTCTATTCCAGCTTGTTGTTTATTTTGTTTCAAATTATTAGATTTCAATTGGTTTCTTGTAAATCTTTTCCTCTCTTTCTTTCTTTTTCACTTCCCCCCCTTTTCATAATCCATTTTCTTTCATTTCTGATATTTCTCTGCATAAATCTGTCTTTAACAGATCTCACTTGTCGAGCTAATTCCTGACTCTATGGAAGAAGCATAAGTTTGCTTGATTGGGGATGATGATTTGTGACATGTAGGTTAAAATTAGAAATAAAGGATTTGCAAACTTGAGAAGGGTTTTTACTTATTGCTAGGAATATTTTTAATTTGTATTCACCAACTCAGTTCATGAATGTTGAATCCTAGTTGATGTGTCTGAAGTTATTTGTGAACTTCTGAGTGGAATCACTTGTTCACTAGAAAATTGTTGTATTTATGTTAACTCAAAATTCTCCCTCCCATGTGGAAAAGGGCATGTAGTTCTTGTGAAATTGTTTTCTTTTTCACATTTGATCCACAAATGGGTATGTTGAAGAGTAAATTTCCTACTTGCTTAATGATTTAGTTACTTTCAATTTGTGGTTGTTAGTTAAAGAACTCGACTCTGTCATGCTTTTTTGTGATTATTCTGATTTTTAATTATTTACTATAGATCAGTAATCATGTGCTAGTTTCCTTATGCTGTAAGATGGCTTCAGCAAATTAGAACTTAAAGATGTTTTGGTTGTTTTCTTGTTTGTCTGGGTTTTTTTTTGCAGAACACATGGATTTATTCTTACTATGGAAGATCTATCTCCTAATATTGGCGTCTTATGGTGAGGTGAAAGTTAATAGACACTAATAGATTTGACCAGATATTTTAACTGAAGTTATATCCTAATTGGTGCAAAAATCAAATGCAGGTATTTCTTTGCAGAGGTTTTTGATTTCTTCAGGGATTTCTTTCTAATTGTTTTCCACATCAATATTCTCTTCATGATATTACCATTGGCCATACGCCTGAAACATCGGCCATGTTTTTTGGCTTTTGTGTATATTGCAATCTCTTCCATGCTTAAATCTTATCCTTCTGTAAGTTTCCATTCATGTTCGAGTTGATACTATGGTTTCATAAAGATGGAGTTTATGTATTTCCTCTCAACCATGTAAATCACCAAATGTTATCCAATTTCCTTATATGGTAAATGATTGAAATGGTTTTGCAAGATGTAAAGATTTACATGTGTTATTCACCTTTCATACGCCCTTCGTCAATCTGCTATAAATAAGCAAATGTATTTAAACAGTGATGTGGATGTTTGTTTTACTTTTGTCCATAAATCAATAGCGTTCTTGAATATTGATCAAGAGCATTATGGCATACCTTTAATAAAAAGCCATTATCCAATGCTGGTTCTGGCTGTCTGGGGTCTTGGAGGGGTGGACTGAAGGAGCGAGGTTTAGCTGAACGCTTTAGCTGTTCACCGGGCTGTGGAACCAATGATAAGATTCCACACCAGAATTAAATACATGGGGCCTGCATGTTTTATTTTGAAGGGGGAAATATCTCAAGGAATAAACTCAACTTTCATTTCTCTAATCCCCAAGGAGGCAAAAGTACCAAAGAGTTTCAGATCTATAAGCCTAGTGGGAAGCCTCTATAAAATCATAGCAAAAGTTTTAGTTGGGAGATTAAAGAAGATTAAAGAAGATTTTACCACCTTGACTCAGCCCCCTCCTATTCCTAGACCTCCCTTCTAGTCAGGACTTTGTTTGTAAAAAGAGACCACCTAGTAAAGCTTGAGTTGGGACTTTGGTTTTAGGAGGGGGCTGAGGGATAATGAGTGTGAGACCCTTATTCAATTTCTAGACAAACTTAAGCAAACCTTCCTGGATCAATCTGTGGAGGACACTAGGGTTTAGTCTACCTCTTCCAACAGCATTTCTCGGTGAAGGATATGTAGTAAGTCCATTCTACCTGAAATTCAAGCACTGTGCTGGGAGGTTTTTCTTGGAAAGGTGAACACCTGTAACATGCTTCAAAAGAGGAGGCTAAATAAATGCCTCTCTCCTCATGTGTGCTCTCTTTGTTTTACAAATGGTGAATCCTTTTCCTATTTATTGATCTACTGTCCTTTTGTGCTCTTTGTTTGGGAGTCTTTTTGCTCTCTTTTTCGTTCAAGGTGGAGCTCTCCTCAGGATGTAGTGTAGTCTTTTCAACCCAAATTTCTTAAGGCAGCCAACGAAAAGAGGAATAGTTATGTTGAAATCAGTTAGGGTGGCATTAGTGTGGACTGTTTGGAAAGAAGGGAATGCATGGATTTTTAATGAGAAGTTTAGGGCAAAGGGAAATTGTGGAAACCATAGTTTTTAAGGCGCCAAGGTGAGGCTAGGCGACAGGGGGCGCCTTGTTGCCTAGGCGGGCACCTAGGCAACGCCTAGGCGATGTTTTTTTTTTTTTTTAAGTAAAACCATATATCCTAGGTTCCATAGCCATCTTTCCTTAATAATTATCCATAATTTTCATAAGAGAAGTATAAATTTCATGTTTTAAGTTTAGAAAATCAACATTTGAAGAGAAGAAAAGGAACAAAGGAAAGAAAACTCAAAAAATATAGGGGCTGAACCCCTACTTTTGTTATAGGAAAAGAAGAAAAGAAAAGGTGGAAGAAGAAGAAGATCTGTAAGAAGAAAATGTGTTGATTAGACAAAATTTTAAGTTCTTCCATTGCTCATTGGTTCAGGTTCTTAAATCTTTGAGGATTCAACCAAGGATCAAAACTTTGATATGATATGCCCCGTATCGGGTGTATTGTATTGTATCTTTGGCGCCCCAATACACATGTTTACAGGTGTTTTCTGGAACCCATTTTTTAAAATGATATCTATATCTATATCTCTCTCTCTCTCTCTATATATATATATATATAAATGAAATTGAAAAGCAAAAAAATAAAAAAATAGGGGGAGTATCGTTATAAGTACTGATACACCTCTGCCGATACACAGAGGTGTATCGATACTTTGAACCATGGGTTCAATACAGCAGTTAGCAATGTTTGTGTTGATTAAACCCTAACCAATAAGAAAATAATAAAAAGAAATTAGTACATAAACACAGAAAATGAGTATTCTAGTTTAATAATGCCTATTTTATAATTATAATGTCAAAAAATAAAAAATATAAAAGTATTTTATATTATAGTGCACAAAACTACTTGGCGACTGGGCGAGGCAAGCCTCCAAGGGCACCTTGTCGCCTAAGCGTTGCCTTGACAACTATGGTGGAAACTATAAAGATAAGAATAGCACACTGGGTAAAAACACTTTGAGTGCTTCCAAAATTTCTCAATGACTGATATAGTAAGGGCAAGGGAATGAAGTGGCACACTCCTCAAAGAAGGAAGAAAGAAAGGTGATGGAATGAAATCCCCCAGGTATCAATAAAATCAAGCTGAATTTCGATGGGAGCTCTATAGGTACCCAGGTTTGGTGGGCATTGGTGGTGTGTTTAGAGACTCCTGAAGGAAAGTATTGGTAATGTATTCGGGACTTTTGGAGGTAGGTGACTCTCAAAAGGCTCAGCTGTTAGCACTGCTACAAGGTCTAAAACTTACTAAGCAAGCAGATTTAAAAAACCTGGAGGTTGAAGGGGACTCACAATTGGTGATTTCTTGGATTACCAACAGGGGTAATGTTCCTTGGATTTATAGACACTCCCTAAGGGAGAATGAAAGCCTGGCAAGGGAGCTTGATGCATCTTTTACATGGATTAGGAGGACTGCCATTGATATGGCCGACTCATTAGCCAAACAGGGGGTCTATGGGCAGCAGCTTTTGTTGGGCTGTATTGTAATATTATGTTGGGAAATGATTGTCTTTCTACGATTTACTGTAATTCTGTAACCTGTTCACTCAATGATTAATAATAAAACTCCTCTTCTGATAAAAAAAATCTATTAAGTGCATATGATATGGCTGTTTGTCAACATTCTGTTCCGTCAATTGCCAAGCAAATAATAAAACTCCCAACAACCTAGGTCTACTATCTTTTTTGATACTTACGCTGCAAGAGGAATGGCTTTGTTAAGGGAGATGTACATTAATAAAAACATGCAAATTCCAATCCTTTAAAAGTGGTGAATCATGGTTTGGAACTTCATTTGTTTAAAACTGGTGAAATAAGATGTGTGGAAGAAAGCAACAAAAACAGGGATGCTTCATCCCCTCACTTTTCTCTCTCTTTCTCACTATCTATCTATCTTCACACATACATCCAGAGCATGGAAGGGGTTTTTTATATTAGTAACATTTAGGCCTTTCTTACTTTTATTTTTTGCCTGACATACCTTGGCAGCTTTTGACAATGAACCAACTGTCTGTGTCTGGTGTTGGCATTAGCATTGAAAGTGCCAAGGCAGTTTTTGGATATTCAACAAAATGGGTTATGTTCATTATCAAAGGATCATGCTGGCTGAGAGCTGACAACACTACTTTCTTTTATCATCAAAAACAACTTTACAGTGCATTTCCAGGACCTGGACCCCAGACTAATGTTTGCCTTGAAACTCCTGACTTAGCTAGGCCATCAGCAGACTCATTAGCACTTCTTGGGATCCTTCTGAACAAGCAATTCAGACTAATTTATAATGACTGATCTTCCCTAACTGTGAACCTGAATTTCAATGGTACTCCATTTTCTGTACTCAACCAAGAAATGACAACTTGGCAGTCCCCTCTACAATAATATAGCTCTAACAGTTCACTGTTGCCAGGTTTAGACCTTGCACTGCCATCAATTCAGCCTTAGGGAGTTACCAATTCCTTAAGGCCCAGAAAACCTAAGCTGTACACTACCCTATTCATCCCTTATTACTATTCCAATTCTTGATGCATCAGGGTTGTCAAGGCTGCAGCCATCACAATTTAGTTTTGATCTACCAGCTTCTAGAGGGATCCAACTCTCAATTATGTGATGTCTTCTTGAGACATTTGCTACAATATGCCATATTATTAAATTGTTCGTTGTAACTCTCTTAAATTTTTCACTAACCAGCGCCCAATGTGCTATTCTCACCTTGATAAGTTTGAGGTTAGTGAATTTTATTCTTTATTTTCAAATAGTCTTGCATTTCTTTCAACCACACCCCCCCACTCCAAATGATGGCACTTCTAATACAATGTCATAACACCTTCATTCCTTTAGTGTGAGAATGAAATGGGTACACGCAGAAAAGCTTCAAAAAAATTGGAGTGTCATGGTGTCATTCTCTGTTATGGTCTTATGGACTTTCATGGTGTATAATGTACTGGCACTTCTAAAAGGCCATTGCCCAAGGTTGGTCCTAGTTATCTGGAGTCTTGGGAGGGGTAGACTGGATATTGATCTAACCAACCTTTAAATTTCACCCCCCCTTGCATAAAGTGGCTGTTTTCAGACCTGAACCTGAGTTCTCATGCTTGTCAGACAGGTTTTTCAATTTCACTAAGCAATGGCCCCTATGCTGACATTTCTCCAACCTCCACATTTGCCATGTCCTTGTGTTTCTGAATTATATACCAAGATATAGCATGGACTTTACACTAAAAGTTCAAGTTTTCAACACATACATTATCTATGTACAGGTAACCACAATAGATTCTGAGTTTCTGACATATGTTCCTATGTACTGTTAAAACTGCATTTACTTGTGTAGTTGATTCAATGGTTAAGAACTTGACTGGACAGAGAACTGAAGGGGGGTTGGTTAATTGGTTTGGTTCAATCTGTTTGTAATGTTGGCTTAATCTTATAATAAACTGGCCTGAAAGGAAAGGTAAAGCAAAAAGAAGCAAATCAGTTTTTTATTGAACCATTATTCAGCCAAGTAGTTGATATGATTTCTCTTTCTGGATTCGCCAGGCAGTTCATACTGCTTGACTGATAAAAAGGTCAGTTCCAGTTTAACCCATTTGACCATCTAATGAGACCCAGTTTTTAGATCATTTAATTATTTGAGTGGTTATTTGCATAAGATGAAAATTAATCTGTTCTTTTCCTATTTTTTGAAAGCTAGGTTCTGTACTCATTTTGGACTTGGCAAAGTTTTGGTGATCTGGTTGTCAAGTCTGTTTCTTAGAATATATATAAATTGGTTGGTTACTTACATTTGATGAAAATTAATCTGTTCAGATGTTTCCACTCTTAGATTTCCTTTTGTTATTTGGATAGAAGGTTCTAATGTTCATGTTGGATTTACTGTTATCTTAGATTTGATTTTGAAATTTCAAAAGATCCATCTTTCTTCCTGTCAGTTTAATTGATTAATCACTGCTTCCATGCAGCTTCATATTTCCTACTAATTCAAAGGGAAACTGTTATCTTTTAAAAGTGTTAATATTATTGCCATCTAGAAAATTTATGTAAACAAGCCTTGCAAAAGAGCAATCTGTTGGGGATTTACTGTTTTCTTTTATTGTTTCAAATAGGTAATCATAAATGTAAATTTATTCCTTTTTTCTTTTCCTGTTTAAAATGGATTAGGTTGGAGATTCAGCACTGTACTTGGGTATTCTGGGTTTGTTTATTAATGAACTAGCAGGTGAAGCTTCTTTTGCCTTGATCTTACAGCTGTTTCTACTAGAGTTTGATTGACATCTTAGGACATCTATCTTACAATGATATGCAGAAATGAAGTTCTCTTTCTTCCTTTTTTGTGGTTACATCGGAGTTTCTCTGCTCAGCCCTGTGATGCACAACTTGTGGATATGGAGGGTACTCTCTCTCTCTCTCTCATACTGACATACATTGTTTTGCAAGTCCACATTGGATGAAAGAGGTCATTCCCATAATTATACTTGATGATATTGACAGGGTACTGGCAATGCAAACTTCTACTTTGCTACTGCTATTGCTTATGCATGCTTACAGGTACACCTTGTTTACAGATCTCTAGACTAAATAGCTCAAAGAACTAATATTTGTAACTTGTTTTTCTTTCTTTTTTTTTTTTTTGAAAGGTAACTTGTTTTCTAATGAGCTTTTTTTTTCAAAATTTATCTTTTTTTTATATGCAACAGTAAAAGATATTCATTGATTAAAAAGTAAATATGCACAGAATAAATTCAACTACCTAACCCTTATCCTTGTATACAATTACAAGATTATCATAATACTAGTCCCCAATGTAAATCATCCCTATTGACTCCTTGTTTTGCAAGCGAGTCAGCCATGCTGTTTGCTGTTCTGTAAGTCCAGCTTCAAACCACACCCAGTTCTCTAGCCAATTGTTTAGCCTCCCTCAATGTGTGTCTATGTTGCCATGTACTTTGTGTCTCCTTTAACCAACCAATTACATTCTTGGGATATCCTTCAACAACAATGTTGCCCAGACTCATCCTCTTAGAAATCTGTAGGCCTTGAAGTAAGGCTTTCAATTCTGCTGTTGTAGAATCTGCTAATTCCTATTGGTCTTGAAAAGATAGCAATGAAATCCCAATTTTATTTCTTATACCCCCTATTCCTGCAGGTCCGGGGTTCCCAATGCTACAATCATCAAAGTTTAGCTTCTAATGGTGTGCTGACGGTGGAGACCATTGGTTTAAAAGAACCATAGTGTGGCCGTCCTAGTGCATCACAAGATTTTTTTTTTGCCTCTTTTTGTCTTGGGGTTGAAAAGAGATCCCTTTTAAAGATCTCTATATTCTCTGGTGGGTAACCACTTACAGCCAAAGAGCGACTGGAGCCTATCCCATACACTAGATGTATAACTGTAGGAGATAGCAGATGTAGTACAGATTTCCCATTTGCTTCACATAGAACACAAATGTCACAAATATTGATCTTCAAATGACATATTTCTCAACAAAAAACCTTATTTCTTGGGGGAACTTTTTCAAATTTCATCTTGGGGAAGTAGTCAATTGTAAAATGTTTACAAATCCAGGAAGCATTCACAGTTTGGGAAAGTGAAATTTTGAACAAGTTTAAGCAAGTTAAATAGTACTTGCTAGTAACAAGAGAAAACTAGTGGTTAACCAATGAAAATTCAGGTTAGACAGATACCTATGTAGGCTGTTAAGGAAGAATGACTGAATGAGGAAGAAGAGAAGAATGGAACAGTCCAAGATGTTTTGAGAATGGGGCGGCAGTTTCTCTCCTGTCCTACCCAGAAATTTATATTAAGGTTTAAAAGGCAAGAAAATTACATAAAAGCCCCCTATTAGGTGGGCTGAGAAAAAGAAAAGAAACACATAATGTTTAAGGCCCAGGCACACTACTAAGTACTAACTAATACAATATTTAAGCCCACTAACATATTATATCTCACAACACTCCCCCTCAAGTGAGCATAGATATCTATCATGCTCAACTTGCCTAATAATTCATGAAATCTTGTCTTGGATAGCCGTTTAGTAAAGACATCGGCCAGCTGTTTTCCAGATGGCAAGTGAAGTATGCAAAGATCTCCTGAAATAATCCTTTCTCGAACAAAATGTTTATCAATTTCAATGTGCTTGGTTCTATCATGCTGGACTAGGTTGTTAGCAATGTTGATGGCAGCCTGGTTATCACAATATAGCTTTAAGGGTCCATCAATTTGGATTCCAACTCCTTTAATAGGATCTGTATCCACAGAAGTTCGGCCAAGCCATGAGCTGTGGCCTTGTATCAGTGTTTTAAAAGTGCAAGGTGCAAAATTAAAAAAAAGCTAAGAAATAAAAAAAATGCAAAAAATTATAAAACATAATATTAATAAAAATGTAAACTTAAGTTTTAAAATAAATGTTTTAAAAATCCTATTATCTAAAATTAAAACACATAAATATAATATGTAAAGCATATTCTAATGAGAATTTAAAAATGAAATCAAACATATAAAACATTTTCAAGCATATAAAACCCAAAATCTCTTTTTTTTCTCAATTGCATCAAGTAGCTAATGTGACATATTACATTCCTAATTCTACGAGCCGCCTTTGTGCCACGCCCCTCGAGGCAAGCCTAAACAAGGCCATGTTAGGGTCTTAAATTCTTAGTTTTCACACAAAATAATAATTTTATAGTTTTAATTGCTTTTAAGAAGATATTTTATTAGGATGAATGAATGGACAACATTACCAAATGGGGGATTCTTGAAGCTCCGGTTTGCTCGCGAAGGCCTTGTTTGGGCTGGCCTCGAGGGGCGTGGCACGGGGGTTTGGGGGCGGAGCCCCCGGCCTAGCGGCCAGACTCAAAAAAATGGAAAAGGCGCACACTTGGGCTAAGGCGCAAGGCGCACCAGGTGCATGCCTAGGTGCACCAGGCGTGCACCTTTTGAATGGGCTACGCTTAGGCCCTGGACGAGGCGCCTACCCTAAAATGCGCCTTGCCTGTGCGCCTAGGCGCACCTTTTAAATCATTGCCATGTAGTCAGCCTCAACACTAGATCTACCACTACTGTATGTTTTTTGCTTCTCCAGGTAACCAAGTTTTCCACCAATAAAAGTGCAATATCCAGTTCTAGATCTTCTATCTCCAGTAGACCCTGTCCAATCAGCAACTAGGAAGGCTTCAACACAAATTTTATCATGCTTCCTAAAAAGCAATCCCTTCCCTAGATAAGTCTTGAGATACCTTAGGATCCATTCAACAACTCTCATATGAGAGATTTTGGGTGCATGCATAAATTGACTTACAATATGTACTACATAAGCAATATCAGGCCTAGTGAGAGATGGATACAAAAGTTTACCAACCAAACGTTGTTACCACTCTCTATCTACAAACAACTCATCTTCACCACCTTTTTGCAACTTGTGGCTTTGTTCAGTTGGAGTATCCACAAATCTACTCCCCAATTTCCTTGTCTCCTTCAATAATAATTCTAAAGCATACTTCCATTGGCAAATATATATTCCTCCCTTGGACTTTGCAACTTCTATCTTGTGGAAGTACCTTAGGACCCAAATCCTTAATCTCAAATTTTGATGCTAAGAAATCTTTCAACCTTTTAATCTCTTCTGTATCATTTCCAGTAATTACCATATCATCAACATACACAATTAGAGTAGTCAACCTGCCATTTGCCTTCTTGTAAAACAAAGTGTGATCAACATTACTTTGCTTATCTCCCACATTCTTCATAGCCTTGCAAAGTCTCTCAGACCAAACCCTCGAGATTGCTTTAAGCCATACAAAGCTCTCTTCAACTTGCATACCTTCCCTTTCATATCAAATCCTGGAGGTGGATCCATGAAAACTTCTTCTTGGAGCACCATTTAGGAAAGCATTCTTCACATCAACTAGTGTTTTAAAAGCACAAGGCGCAAAAAAGGCGTAGGGGTCAATTTGTGCTCGAGGTGCAAGGCGAGGCGCGTGCCTTTTTTAAGCAAGGCGCAAAATTACAAAAACAAATGCTAAAAAATGAAAAAGTTAGAAAATTCAAAAAATTCCAAAAAAATAAAAAAATAAAAAATAAAGATAATATTAATAAAAAATATAAACTTAAATTTTAAAATAAATGTTTTAAAAATCCTATTGTCTAAAATTAAAATACATAAACATAACATGTAAAGCATATTCAAATGAGAATTTAAAAATAAAATCAAACATATAAAACCTTTACAAGCATATAAAACCCACAATCTCTTTTTTTCCTCAATTGCATTACTTCAAGTAGCTAATGTGATGTAAAACATATTATATTCTTGATTCTACGAGCTGCCTTTGTGCGACGTCCCTCAAGGCAAGCCCAAGCAAGTCCATGATAGGGTCTTAAATTCTTAGTTCTCACAAAAATAATGATTTTATAATTTTAATTGCTTTCTAAGAAGATGTTTTATTAGGATGAATGAATGAACAACATTAGCAAATAGGGGGTTCTCGGAGCATTGAAAAGGGTTTGGGGGGAGGGGGTCTAGGTGGCGATGCCCCTTAGCCAAGGGGGGTTTGGGGGCAGAGTCCCTTGCCAAAACTTTCTTTCCCCTTCTCTTCTCTTCCCTTCCCTTTTCTTTTCTTTCTTTTTTTCTTTTTTCCTTCTCTTTCTTTCTTACTTTTTCTTTTGTTTCCCTTTTCCATTCCTTTTTTTTTTTAAATTTTTTTCTTTTTATTTTTTATGAGGTGTGTGTGAGGCACATGAGGAGTACACCTCTAGCACGCCTCATGCAAAGGGCTTATGGGGCATCTTGCAGCTAAGGCGTACGCCTCAGATGTATTAACACCTCTGGCATATGCCTCAGGGTGTTTTGGGGGCATCTTGACTGGAGGTGCGTGTCTAGGCATACGCCTCCCATGCCTTTTAAAACACTGATTGTGATAATAGGGAGTGATTCACAAGATATCAAAAAGTTAAAGTTGTTTTTATAAGAGAGATTTCATATTAAGGATTTAGGTAAACTTTGGTATTCTTTTAGGATAGAGGTTATGAGATCAGCTATAGAGATCTCACTTTCACAACACAAGTATGCTCTGGATCTACTTGAGGAGACAAGGATGAGAGGGTGTAAACCAGTTGCTACACGTCCAGATATTTCTTTTGCCATTGGAGTTGTAAGCCTATTTTTGAGTTCTCCTTGTATTCCTCATCTTGTGGTAGTATTCAAGATTATACGGTATCTGAAGGCACCACCGGGCATTGGAGTTATATATAGAGATCATGGACACTTGACTGTGTTAGGATTTACAGATGTAGATTGGGCAGAGTAACCTACAGACAGATGGCCTACCACAGGGTACTGTACCTTTTAGGTGGTTATCTTATATGTTATATCTTGGAAAAGCAATAGGGGAGCTAGTATGACTTAAAAGTATTCTTCATGAGATAGGAATTCCTGTGAAACTACCCATGCACTTGCATATTGATAATATGAAGGCATCAAATCCTATCTTTCATGAGAGGACAAAACATATTGAAGTGGACTGCCATTTTGTAAGGGAGAAGGTTCAAAGTG